TAGCGTCAGTTAAGCTTTCCTTTTTTATCAGGTTTTACAGATGTGTTGTATTCAACCCTGGAAGAACTGTGCACTCATTTTCTCATCTCATGTTCAGAGTGACTGGTCTTTGTTAGTGCTGTTGTTATGTGAGTTAGGTACTTCTTAAATACACCTTTTTGTTTTGAAACTGGATCTTGTTGTGTACTCATTCAGATTTTTTTAAATCTTAATTTTTACTAGTCTTTACAAAGATAGTATTTCAAGTGATGGATTTGGAGATCTCAAAATGTTCCTTACATAAGATATAATAAAGTTTGTATCTAGAAGTTATTTCATGCTCTAAATTTTAAATAGCTGAAGTCACTGGGCTAACTTTTTACTGTTCCTGTTTTCAAAGATGGTTTAAAAAGTTCACATTTGTTTCAATACTGCCATCTGGTGACTATTGAGGATATCTCAACGTGGGCTTAAACTTGGTTTACAACCCCATAATGTAGTACAGCTGAATATAGGGGTTACAGGAAAAAAAAAAAAAACAAAACAGACAACAACAACAGAGCCAGTAAGAGGTGTTTAATGTGCAGCAGACAAACTCAAATGTTCAGTGAGCTAGATGTTTGTGGCAGCACTCACCTGTGTGGCATTGCGCAATTTCATTGCACCTTCCATTCTGAAGCTACAACACTAGCATCATTCTAAGTTTCCATACAAAGTAATTAGCTTCAAAACACATTCTTCTTTTTGTAGGTATATGCATGTTTTATTCTATGCATGTTTGCATATCATATTCATTCCTGATCGCCACAGAAGCCAGTAGAGAGTGTCAGATCTCTGGGACTGGGGTATTGAACCCATGTCCAGAGGATCCAGTGCTTTTAACCACTGAGCTAATGTTAGCCCCACATTACATTCCTCCCTCCCTCCCTTCTCTCCCCCATTCCATGTCTTCCTCTTACTGATCTCTTTCCTCTCTCCAGTCTCCTCCTTCTGCTCTCATGTTGCATGTATTCCTCCCTCCCTCTCATGAACCCAATGTATGTCATATGTCACTGGTTTTCATGTAGCAAGTAATAAGACAGCCAGTTTGTCTGGCTGTGTCTCACATACTAGCATGTATGAGTAGATCTGGATGACCTCCGTAGATTCGGCTTGAGATGGACAAAGCCCAGTGGTAGGTTGTTAAAAGGAATATCAAGAGCAGTACCATTTCAAGGGGCGCACAGGGCGCACAGAGACACTCTTGAGGGGTTACGTATGATTCGAACCACAGCACCATTTTTATTTTCATTAGAAACTTCACACTCTGGATTCTAGATGAAGCAGACCATTTTAAAATACTTTTATTTAAATTTTTAAGCATTTTTAATTCATCGGAGACTTACTTCTATGGGTGCTCAGAGCCACACTCTGGTCCTTGTAATTGTAAAGTAAGTGGTCTGTTTTTGTTTGTTTGTTTGTTTGGTGGTTTATTTTATTTGTTTTTTCAAGACAGGGTTTCTCTGTGTAGCTCTGGCTATCCAGGAACTCACTCTGTAGACCAGGCTGGCCTCGAACTCAGAAATCTGCCTGCCTCTGCCTCCCAAGTGCTGAGATTAAAGGTGTGTGCTACCACTGCCTGGTTAACTTTCTAATCTTTAACTAATAATCTTTCTAATTGCTGTTATGTACTATGTCAGGAAGAAGGAAGAGAGAGTGTATTAGAAACGATTGCTGAGGCATAATGTTCTTGTGACTTGGATGGTGGTGCTGTGGGCGCTGATGACGTAACTTAAGGAGTACACATACAGTGTATTTTTCCTCCCAGTAAAAGTACACTGATTTTTCTAGTATATTTGATTGGAAAGTTAACATTTAAATTTAAATCGATGAATAAATATTGATTAGAAATGTGGTAACCCTGAATTTCCTGAAGTACTAGTGGATTTGGATATTAGTGTTCAGAATTTAAGAGAGAAAATAGGCTAGAGAAAGGTTTTAATGACATGAGCAAGCAGATGACAGTGGAAAGGACCCAGTGACATGGAGTGGATAGGAAAGGATTCAGATTGAGGGATGACAAAAACGATGTCAGAGATGAGGAACACCAACATGTACATGTGTTCGAAGGAATAAAAGGACACTGAAAAGATCAGACTGAGAGAAAAAGAAAAGAGGAGGGAAACAGAGGCAAGAGAAGTGATGGCAGAAGAGTGAGCTCTGGGAAGAAGGCTGGTGACAAGGCTCAGTGAGTGCCCTTGGTCCTACACACAACCAGTAAACCTAATGTAAACATTTGGAAAGACAACCTCACTCCATATAAAACAGTGCTTGTTAGTGACGTGGTAATAATGATTGATTACAAGCATGCGTGTATTTATTCTAATGCGTTTGCTCTTTCAGTACTACTGTGATATTTATAAAGTTTTTTATTTTATTGAAGCTTGATCATGCCATTTGTCTTAGAGACTTTTCTATTGCTATGAAGAGATACCATGACCTAGGCAACTTATAAAAACAAGTGTTTAATTGGGGGCTTGCTTATAGTTTCACAGGATGAGTCCCTACATGGCAGCAGGCTGGCAGGTTAGGCATGGTGTTGAAACTGTAGCTTAGAGCTTACATGTCGAGATGAGAAACACAAGGCAAGAACCATAGGTGGCTTACAGTTTCAGAGACGTCCCATTATCGTCATGGTGGGAAGCAAGGCTGCAGGCAGGCAGTGCGCTGGAAAAGAAGCTGAGAGCTCTATATCTTGATCCAAAGGCAGCAGGTTGAGTGGGGGAGTCAGAGAGGTATGGAGAGAGGAAGGAGGGGGGGAGGGAGCAGAAGGAGAACTGGGGGCGTTTGTGATCTCAAAGCCCATTCCCAGTGACACTCTCCTCCAGCAAGGCCACACCTCCTAATTCATCATAAGTTGTTCACCAGCTTAGAATCAAATACATGAGCCGTTTCCATTCGAACCATCAAGCCATTCACCTGCTTAACGTCGTCCAGTGCTACAGTAGAGGCCAAACCATAAAACCCAGATTTTAGGACTGAGAGTCTACCAGTTTTTCTAGGTCTTTATAGTTTATTTCTTTAGGCTTTCCCTCCGATGTGAAGTCTTGTCTTGCCTTTCTTCTCTAGTCCTTTTTCCTAGTCTGTCTTAAGGAGAAGCAGTGGTCACTGTCTCCACAGCTGCAGGAACTGGGTAACTCAGCACTACTGTGAGCACATTTGTGCACGGTATTTAAAAGAACTTTAGTGTCCATATTATGCCCAACACTTTCCTTATCTGTTTCTGTTTAAAAACACTAACCACTGAAACGTTAATCTTAATCTGTCTTTAGCCAATATTCCTGTGAAAACCCATCAAGTCTGTGTAACCTAGAATGACTTTGAACTTCTGATCTTATCTTTGCTTTCCAATCATTAGCTTTATAGGTGTGTGCTACCACACCTGGTTTCTGTGGTGTTTGGGATACAAGCCGAGTGTCATGAATGCTTGGCAGGTCCTCTACTAACTGAGCTACACACCCAGCTCCACCTGGCTCAGTGCTGCTTACGGACCCTTTCTTTGGCCTGAGGAATAAAGGTTTGAGAGATGGCTTGGGGGTACAGTGCTTGCCAGGCAAGCATAAACACCCAAAGTCCGATCCTCTGCTCCTCCATAAAGGCTTCTGCAGTGAGATGGGAAGTGGAGACAGAATACTCAGAAGTTCATTGGTTAAGTAGCCTGGTGATCGCAGGAGCAAACAACAGGATACCGGTGTCTCACCAGGTTAAAAAGCAAGGATCAAAAACACCTGATGTTTTACTCTGTCTTCCACAAGCATGCAGTGGAATACACCTGCACTCCTGCACACAAACACATACACAGTGATTTAAAAAAAAAGGCTCATTCTCTTCTTCAACTATAAATTTCTTTTAGCACTTTTAAGAGTATAGTTGATACATAAAATTGAAAATATCAGACTGAAGAGATGGCTTAGTTAAAAGCATTCTGCTCTTGCAGAGGACCCAGGTTCAATTCTTAGGAACTACAGGGTGGTTCACAACCATCTGTAACTCCAGCTCTAGAGGATCTGACAGTTTTTTCTGGTCATGTACATATGCACATACATACATGTAGGTAAAACAATTGTACACATTAAAAATCTTTAGAAAACTTTGAAGTGGAAAGTAACATGTACATATTGTTGACATTGAAAGACCAATTTCTTCAGCTTTCACAATTGATCTACCCCTTTTCTGTCTTGTTTTTAAAAAGATTTATTTATTTTATGCATATGACTGTAGTTGTCTTCAAACACACAAGAAGAGGGCATCAGATCTCGTTACAGATGGTTGTGAGTCACCATGTGGCTGCTGGGAATTGAACTCAGGACCTCTGGAAGAGCAGTCAGTGCTTTTAACCTCTGAGTCATCTCTCCAGTCCTTTGTTTTGTTTTTCTTTTTATTTTTCTTACACAAAGTCCATGTACTTAAACACTGGTCCTAGCAGCCTGTCAATCAGAGCCTCTCTCTCAGTACTGCCTGGGTTGCCTTTCTCTCCATCACTGGGTTGGGGGTGGGGGAAGCACTTCCGAGAGGAGCTTAGACACTTGTAGTTGCCTCTTACGCTCCTGTCCTTTGACTAGCTTACTAGTCCATAACAGGCGTGTAAGAAGTGCTGGTCTTATCCTCCTCCAAATCACCATGAAAGGTTCTCTCTTAGTGCCAGTACTACATAGGATAACAATGTTCATCGTTTGTTTCTTAGAGTACTTAATGTGCTCTGTCCTACATTATGTGTATGTTTTTCCAGATCACATGTATCCCAGATATGATAAGATCCCAGATACAAATTTTTTTTTAAAAAGTAAATAAGAAGTAATTTTTGTGCTTACACTTGGGCAAAAGCAAGCTTTATGGAAACTTACTAAGTAGGAATTTTACAAAGAATGATATAATTGTTTCATAGTTATATAAACTTAGAATAGAATGTAAAACTAACTTTAACTTTATGCTCATACTAAAAAAAGTACTAGTAGTGGAGTCAGTTTTGTTTCTCTCTGCAGCCTGTTGCTGAACCAATCCCCATCTGTAGTTTCTGTCTTGGTACAAAAGAGCAAAACCGGGAAAAGAAGCCCGAGGAACTCATCTCCTGCGCAGACTGTGGCAATAGTGGTACGTACCTTCCTGTTTGCCTTCTAATCCCTCTCCAAGACAAGGAGAAGGTTGTTTAAATTAGTTAGTATTCTTGATCCTTGTCACATGCATGTTTTAACCTAATTCTGGTTTCCAGTAACTGAGTTGAGCTTTTACACTACAGAGGGATTTGAATAGCTGAAATGGATTGTTAATTGTATTTCAGGTAGTTTTTATAAATGTCAATAAACTTTTTTCTGTTCATTGTATTTCATTCTTGAGTACTTGTTTAAGTCACAGCAATCAGTTTAAAGGGTGTCTTTCAATAAACACAGTTCAGGCTGGTGAGAGAGGTCAGTCAGTAAAGTTCTTGATGTGCAAACTCAAAGACCTGATTCAACCTCTGGGACAGTGTAAAAAGCCCAGGCTGCTAATGTGCATTTGTAATCCCAGCACTGCTGGCTGAGGACAGGGAGCTCGCTGGGGCTTGCTCACTGGACAGCCTAGCCTATTTAATGACTCCAGGCCAGTGAGACTCTGTCTCAAAAAAGTTGGATGGGTCCTCAGGAAATATAGCCGAGGGTTAGACAGCGTGTGCCTATAGTTAGATATGTGTGCCTGTACACTCAGGTGTGCACACATATGTGACATAATTACTTTTCATTCTTGATTTGTCTCAGGCTTGATACAGAGAACCAGAAAGATAAAAGATTTGGTTTTCCAGATTGTCACATTGGATATTGCTGACACTGGGGTGTTTGAGCCTATGAAATCCTGGGCCTATAGAAAGAGTTTTCAGAATCATCTAACTTGCTGGTTCCATAGATATTTTTACTGTACATTTAAGGATGCATAAGACTTTACAGGAAGGTTTTAATAAATCAGTATCTTTAATGTTGTTGTTTTCATTTTTAGTGGTTTTTTTTTTTAACAACAACATCCAGGATTTGGGCCTGAAAACAGAAGACGAATTTGATGTTGGTATTTGTGAGATAGTTGGAAGTTAGGCCTAAGGCTCCTGCAGAAGTGACACCAGACTGTGAGGTTGCCTTGCCTTTCTCCACTAGGGAGAATTGGAAATAGGAGGGCTTCATGAAACTTACAGGTTCTGGATCCTGAGGTGCTTGTTTGACCATCTTCACTATCTACTGCACAGTAGGACACTGTTGTGACACTTCATGACTTTGCTCGTCATTAGAAAACAGTGCTAGAGAGAGGACAGATGATCTTTGTCTCATTTCTGCCTCACAGAAGCCCAGAGTGTGCCCAGTGCACTTCACTTCTAGAGTCTAGTGCAAAGATGTCTCTAAGTATAATTTCAGCTTCGCAGTACCTGCTCCTCACTCTGGCAGTGGGACCAGGGCTTTATACGTATCAGGCAAGTACGTTACCAAGTGAGCTAGATCCCCTACTCATGCTTCTGTATTTATAGAAGCCTTAGAAGAAGATGAGAATGCATCTTGAGTGCTGAGAGACCATATATAGTACAGTATAATAAGCAAAACTGAATTCTGGGTAGTTTCATAGTGGTTAGATGAAACTGATAGCAGCATGTTGTACAATGCAGTGATATCTGTTTTAATAATAACTTCTAATAATGAAGCCCTTCTCAAAAATTAACTTTATGAATTACAAAAGAGGGCATAAAGTTAATTGTTTTTCCAGTACTTAATGTCATGAATCTTTCACTTTTGGTAGTGGATAAATGCATAAAAATATTTGATATGTTAATTGGCATGTATAGACTTTGGGTCTGGTTAGTTTGAGGATGTAATTTTTTGTTATATGCTAGGTTTTTAATTTAAAAGTTATAAAAATAATAACAGCTTGTCTATTGCTACAGAAATAAATTAATCTAAGACCTTGCAGCTTATATTAATGACAGACATTTTAGTTTTATACTGTTTCTGTGCATTGGGAATATGAAAGTGTCTTATCTGGGCAGTTTGACTTGATGCCTTAGGAGGACATACTTAAGATCTTAATTGGTACTTCAGACACCTAAAGCTTCCATGATGCTTCAACAGATTGAAGCTGTTGCCTGGTGACAAGAAGCCTCAGGTTTTTTGCCATGTGGACCTGTAGATAAGGCTGTGTGGATATCCACACCATGGCAGCTGGCTTTCTCTAAGCATATATCTAAGCATATACAATTCTTGAATTAGAAGTCATACTGTCATCTCAACAATATCGTATTGTTACACAGATAAAGCCTACTCAGTGTGTGAGAACAAGTCTGCATAAGTTAGGGAGAGCCAGCTTGGAGACTGACTATCACAGAGGTCAAGGGAGGAGAGCTTAAACATCAAATATGTAAATTGACATTTTAAAAAATAATTAAAACATGTATAACCTAAGATAAAAGGAGCAAGAATAGTCTGGGGAAAATAATTACATTAAATATGGGAAAGGTCCAAATTCCTTGTGAGTGAAAAGAAATATTTTTACATTTCTAAGCATAAAGTGTAAGGAGGAAAACAAACAAGCAGCTTCCATATGAGTGAGTTCATGGCTGAGTATAGAAGACCGGCTTCACCTGTAGAATAGCGGACTGTGTGCTAACAGTAGGAAATATAAGCTTTCACACTCCGGAGGGAAATACAAGGAACTGTTTATACTTGCTTAGTGGCACGGGATGTGACACCATGACTTTTAGAAAACTTAGCCTATACATCTCAACCAATCAAACTGAAAATGTCATTACACTTACCAGTCTTACTTTCAGAAGGATTTTTGGTTTTTGTTTTCTCCTATAATGCTCATTTAGAATAAGAAAACTCTATAACCTTGGTTATATATAATATATATAGACCTAACCAAGCCTCTCTTTCTATATAGAGTCTATATAAAGAGTTTTGGTTAGGGTTTCTTGTGCTGAGATAAAAGTATCATGCAAAAACAAGTTGGGAGAAGAAAGGGTTTATTTTATTTAGCTTACACTTATACATCACAGTCCATCAGTGAAGCAAGTCAAGGCAGGAACTCAAGCAGAGGCCATGGAGGAATACTGCTTGCTGGCTTACTCAGCCTGCTTTCTTACAGCACCTAGGAATCAACTGCCCAGGGATGGCACTGCTCACATCAGTCTTTAATCAAGACAATATGGTTCATACTTGCCTACAAACCAGTCTTATGAAAGCATTTTCTCAATTAGGACTCTCTTCCAAGATATGTCTAGTTTTCTGTGAAGCTGAAAAAACTAACCAGTGAGTATTTAACAATAGGGAAATGGTCATGGAGGTGGTCGTCCATCAAATAAGTAGCATATAATCAGTTAAAGACTACAAATACGAAGTTTACTAGAATTAAATAATGAAAAACAAAACGGAGACTGCATGATATCTAGCTGTGACTTTCAGCTCGTTTTCGAAGGGTAGCCCATGAAAATAGTATTACTATTTATTACTATTAATACTAGAGACGATGTTTGCAGGCCACTTTCTCTCCTGCTTTTCTTCGGTGTCCATGTTTTGATGATGAACTTAACTACCTCATTTAAGAGGTAATTCTTTAGAAACAAAGGGGGAGGGAGAAAAGATTGAACTAGCCCTTCTTTCACAAAAGAAGAAAGATAACTGAAGGAGTGGAACAAGACTTAATTGAGTCTGAAAACTGGAGAATCAAAGAGATACTAACTTGTGGGAGAGGAGTCTCCCTTCCCTCCAGCTGTTGTAAATTTTGATCCTAGCAGAAATTCTGCTTCTCTTTCAGATTTAACTTAAGTAGCTTAAATCAAAAGCATGTAATTACTTACATTTTGGTGTTTTTATCCTATATTTAAAAATTATGAAACTAAACTGTTCCCATTAAAAAATGAGATCATAGCCCGTGAAATGGCTTGGTGAGTAGGGTGACAATTACCAAACCAGGAAACCTGAGTATGATGCTTAAGACTCACATGGCAGAAGAGGAGGACCAACTCCTGCAAACTGTCCTTTTACTTTTGTGTATGCATGTGCGTGTTCACACAGTGCATAAATAAGTAGTATAATAATAAATATGATTTGGATTGGCAAGATAGCTCAGCAGGTAAAGATGCTCACTCCAAAATCCTGGTGACTCCTCAGACTCTTGTTGAGGTAGAAGGGAATTGACTCTACTAAATTGTCCTCTAACTTCTACATGTCCACTGTGACATACATGTCTATGTCAACAAATAATTTTTAATATTTTTAAACAAGACACAAGAGTGGGCATGAATGTGAATCACAATTCTTTAGAGTGTTTGCAGTTCTATTTTCTAGGATATTATGTACAAAATATGTGTAAGTAGATTTTTGTGTGTTTGGCTTATTTGTGGCTGGGCCGTATTTGTATTCATATAAATACCAGCATGTGTACAAATAGTACTTTGGTGCAGGCTTACTACAGGTTTGGACATGGTTTTTATACTTACAGTGTGGGCAGATGTGTTAATTTGGTTTTAGGAAATCTGACTTGGAGTGCTGAGTGTTGACGGCACCCTGTGTGGCAGGCTTCCAGGAGCATCTGGCTTTAGCTGATAGAGTTAGCCTAATTACCTGTTTTGTACCATTTAGTATAATTAACAAAACAAGTTTTGATTTTCATCACTGATTTTTTTTTCTTACTCTCATCAGGTCATCCATCCTGTTTAAAGTTTTCCCCAGAACTAACAGTGAGAGTGAAGGCCTTACGGTGGCAGTGTATTGAGTGTAAAACGTGCAGCTCCTGTCGTGATCAAGGCAAAAATGCAGTGAGTGTCTTGGCTTTTCCCACAGCTGTTCCATTGAGTAGCCTTTTCCAGGTGGATACCATTAATTTGGAATCCTGTTCACTTGGACATAGACTGGGTAATTTGTAAAGCATCTTGATCATATATTTGCAGAGATAGTAAACTATTCTCAAGAAAGTTCCCAATTAGTTTGAGCAGTACAGAGATGTTGATTTATGATTTTTATTTGTTTGTTACATGTTATCCTTTTTCATTTTTAATACGACAGACCAGGGTTAGCTCTTACCTGACTATTATTGTACTAGAAAATATTGAACCTGTAGTTCTTCACCAAAGATTTCTGCTAACTTAGACTGCTTGCTAACTTAATACTGATTAAAGAAAGCCTTACTATTATAATATTATTATCTTTGACGTTTCTCAGGTTTGATAAGTCCTAAAATTTTTCTGTCTCCAGAAGTTAAGTAGAAATATCTTTTCCTTTTTCTTTCTTTCTTTCTTCTTTTTTCAAAGGATAACATGCTCTTTTGTGATTCATGTGACCGAGGTTTTCACATGGAGTGTTGTGACCCACCACTCACACGGATGCCAAAAGGTGAGACGTTCCTTCTGAAATCAAACTGAGAAAGGGCGCTAGTGGAGCTACATTTTATCTTCTGTTAAGATGAAAAGTAATTGATTCTCATTTTGAGATTGTATAAATAAAAAGCCAGCTGACATCTTAAAGGTAGGCCATACTTTTTGTTAAGGCTAGATAACATGTTTGTATTTATTGTCGACATTGCAGTGTCTGTGAAGGAGCAAATGGTTTATGTTGAAATATTTGTGTTGTCTCTAGCTAGAGCTCATGTATCGTGAAATCTCTTTTTTAAAGGTGGAAGTAAAACTGTCTTAGGTTATGTTGGTTGTAGCACTGCTCAGTGCTTTTCAGGGTACTAGACTCAGACCTGATTTATTCAAAACTTAAAAGAAATTAAACAAATAATTTCTGGCCAAATAAGTCTGTAAATCATAAGGTGCAGCTTAGTGCTGTTGGATTCTCTTGACACCTGACCCTTGAAAGGCGTGGCTGGGGTGTAGCTGCCTTGTGCTTAGTGCTCTGTGGAGCACTGTTTGATCATATAGTCGTGCTTCTTAGAAAAGAAAAAGTCAAGCCTTGGCTAGAGGCATGGACCTATAATCCCCACTTCTGGTGATTCTGAGAGACGGGGGTTATAAGTTCAAGGGTTGCTTGAACATAGTGAGCTCAAGGCTAGCTTTTCATGACCCCGGTTCACATTTTGGAAAGAAAAAACGTTCAGAGAAATAACCCAGTGGGTTGTGGTGTCAGAGAATATTTCTGTTCAGTTGGAACCCCTGTGTTTTCATGTTGTTTCCATAGATTTCATTTCAGCTCTTGCTTTTGATCTGTATGCTCCCTAAGTAAAAAACACCCGTGGGATAACAATTGTAGTGTAACACCTGTAGGGTAATGCGTACAGTGTGCCTTTGGTAATGTCTGCTTAGAGGTAGTAAGGGACTCAGCCATAGAGTACAGCTGCCTATATGTCTTCCTTATGACAGCCTGTTGTCACCTCTTGAAACACCCTAAATATATATGAATAACCCTCTTTACCTCTCCTTTGCATCTATTTGAAGTTGAGACATGAGGCTGTCTTGAGAATCTTTCAAGATATGGAAGGCTTCTATATGAGTTTCTCTGTACATTTAACTTCTGTAAAAGTTAAGGCAGGAAAGACTTTATTTCAGACTTAAGGAAAGCTGCTACAACAGTAGTACATAGCCTCCTTAGTAGCCCGCTATTGTTACTGTTTTAAAAAAGCGGTAAGACACTTACAGAATCCAGAAAGCCAGTATTAATGCGATTAACCATAATCTAGAGGCCTTATTAGAATTCTCAGGATCCATTTAGGATCTCACACTCAGTCTTCAGCATATGATAGTTAGACTCTGTCTTTCCCAGCTTTGACACATTTGGAGAGTACTAGTCCATACTTCACAAGTCCCCTCTGTTTCTTTTTATATATTTTTTATTTTGTTGGATATTTTATTTACATTTCAGATGTTATTCCCTTACCCCATTCCTCCCCTCCCCCCCAACCCAGGAACCCTCTATCCAATCCTCCCTCCTCCTGCTTCTATGAGGATGTGCCCCCATCCATCCCTCCACTCCCACCTCCCCATCCTCGAATTCCCCCCCACAGGGCATCCACCCTTCATGGGACCAAGGATCTCCTCTCTCACCTATGCCTGATAGGGCCACCTCCCCTACATATACAGCTAGAGCCATGGGTCCCTCCCTTTGTTCTCCCAGGCTGGTGGTTTAAACCCTGGGAACTCTGGTTGGTTGGTATTATTGCTCTCCCCATGGGGCCGCAAACCCTTTCAGCTCCTTCAGTCTTCTCTCTCACTCCTCTATCAGGAACCCCATGATCAGTTCAATGGTTAGCTGTGAGCATCCGCCTCTGGATATTATTACATTGAGTTTTGTGCTTCCTATTGTATCACAACAGATAGATAGTAGTGATATACCTTATTACTAGTAATGTTACTTTGATTACTTAATTGCAGTAATAAAGAAACCTCTGCCTGGTTTTCCTTTTTGCTCACTAACTAGCAACTGCCACTCTTTCTTGCCTATGCAGCTCTTAATGTGATACCTGCACAGAGGTGACTGTCTAGTCCACCATTCTTTCTAAACTAACTAGGTGAAATTCTGACATAAGTAACTGCTGTTACTTTCTCAACATTTATTTATTACATTACTTAAATCCATAGCCACATATTTTTTTTTTATCCTGTGGATGATCATTAGTCATTTGTCCATTGGAAATTCCCTGAGGTTGACTGCCAAGTCCTTTGATATCCCTCTATGAGTATTTTCTGGCATTGTAAAATTATAAAATCTTCAAAGCTAACTTTTTCCCCTTCCTTGTCCTGGAAGCAACCAGTATTCTAGGAAAAATGGCCTTTTATTATAGGCTAGTAATTAGATGCTAATATCTGGGGCTTTCTTGAACAGAATCCCACCCTGCCCCCCCCTTCCCCTTTTTGAGACAGTGTCTCTATTATGTAGCTCTGGCAGGCTCAGAACTCACAGAGATCTATCTGCCTCTGCTAGAATTAAGAGTGTGTGCCACCATGCCTGGCTAGAGCAGAAATTTTTGATGGCTCCTGTCCATTTGCTTCAAGGATGTTTATGAATTTCTTTGAGTTGTTTGTAGATGCTTACTTGTATATGTTTTTATGGCTTTTTTTCTTTCCCAGAAGCATTTCATTAGATTTGCACATAGTTCTTTAACTTTGAGGGATTGGGATATATGAGACCTTTCAGTATATTTGTAGCTACACTTTTGTATAGAATTTTATTCTTTTACAGGCATGTGGATATGTCAGATATGCAGACCTAGGAAAAAAGGACGGAAACTTCTACAAAAGAAGGCGGCGCAGATAAAACGGCGCTATGCTAATCCAATAGGACGTCCAAAAAACAGGTTAAAGAAACAAGACACGGTGTAAGTTGTACTTATGGCAAGGTGAGGGGAGAAAAGGATAGGCCGTCTCTAAAGTGTGGGAGTCACTTGTTTTCAGCAGAAGAGCCTGCTGTTATAACTGGCACTTTTATATGACATGCTAATTTTGCTGAGCCCTTAATAAAGTGCCATGTAGGCCCTGCTCTCTGTGCCGCTTATGCCCAGTCATTCAGGTCTCCTGCAACCTCGAAGAGCGGTGCTGCAGCTTTCCTCTTGTTTTTCAAAAGTGGAAGTTAAGGCATAGAGAAATTAATTTGCATAAAGTTATACATTAAGTGCTGAGCCGGGATTAAAACCTAAGTCGGCACCCAACTGTGATGCTTAACTGTCTCCTTACATTATGGCTGCGCTTGTGTGAGGTAGCAATGCAGACTGCAGTGGTGTGGGCCTTCCAGGTGCAGCCATAGTTGTTTATTGGTAGACATAAGCAGATGACTGGGTAAGGTCTGACTGAGCTGATAAGTCTCAGCTTTGTGTTCTCCTGGGGTATGTTTTCATCAGTTACCAGAAAAGTCACAACCTGTAGACTGGGAAACAAGGCTTGGAGGTGGTGGGACAGGTTTTAGTCACTTTCTGTCTTCCAGGGAAACTTACAGTAGTTCACTGTTGGTCATAGAAAATGTTCTAAATCTGTAAAGCCCTTTTTAGTCTCAAATTTATTTATGTATCCTTTCTACACTTAATACTATCTTGAAGGTGCTCTAAGAGAAACACAGGAGCATTGGCAACATGACACTCTTAGAACCAGCATTCTCATCCATGTTGTTCATCTATAAGAAGCTCTTAGTTGTCTTTTAAAATAATCTTTTAGTTTCTGATATTCAGAAAGTAAACCTGTCTTTGTTTTTAGAGTTAAAAGTATAACTCCTTGGTACAGTGGTCACAGAATTAGAGGGCTTTATAATTCATTAAGCTAGTTGTTCACTGATCTAATTCATGTGCCAGAGAGATGTTGTTTGTCTTGGATGTATATTAGCAACAAATGGTGTGAACATGTGTTTGAAATTCTGCAAGCTAGGCTTTCTGGAATTAGATGGTTCTAAGATATAACTGTTTATAGTTTATAAATTTTTTTCCTTCCTCCCTCCCTCACTCCCTCTCACCCTTCCTCCTTCCCTCCCTTCTTCCTTCCTTCCCTCCTTCCTTCCTTCCTTCCCTCCCTCCCTCCCTCCCTTCCTCCCTCCTTCCTTCCCTCCCTCCCTCCCTCTCCCTTCCTTCCTTCCTTCCTTCCTTCCTTCCTTCCTTCCTTCCCTCCTTCCCTCCCTCCCT